CTTTTACAGTCTGTAGTAATAGCACTGAATTCTTAGAGATCAGTGGTGAATCAGGTATGAATCATCTGTGCCAAGGAGGTTTATACATTCCCAATGAATGCAGGAGGGATATCATCATTTTAATAGTTAAGATCAGGGGAGGGTATAAACTACAAGAACTATACAGTAATTACCAAGTCATTATCTCGAAAAAAGAATTTGCTTTAATCTTGCTCAAGCATATAAAAAACTGTTAAAAGAATAACTTCAGTACGTTGAATGCAATTTTAAGGAAGGGAAGTCAACCATAGATCTAATCTTCATCCTGTAGCAGGTAATAGAAAATAAACTGGAGTATGCTAATGAATGTTACATCCCTTTTATGGGGATGTAAATTTAGCTCACTAGATTAGATTAAACTCAGGGACCAGTTTTATCAGCTCTTTTTCATCCTTCTATATTATCAATCATTATTATACCAATTGGGCTCCGCCAGTTAATCTGCTGCCTATGTGCAGAGCTTGCCGTTCCTACTTAAATCACCATTAGACCTGTCCCTTTATGATATACAATATATATTGCTGACTAGTTCATCTTAACAGTAGTCACCAAGACTTTTTCTCTCCCTGTCAACATTCTCTTAAATACTTTTGCTTTTGATTTAATCACTGCTTCTGCAGTGAGTTTCATATTCTCACCACTCTCTGCATGAAAAAGTTTCTTCGAAACTCCCTATTAGATCTACCACTTCACTCATTTGGGTCTCGCCAACTAGTAAAAGCAGCCTATCAACATCCATCTTATCAAATCCTTTCATAATCTAAACCACTTCTATCAGATGTCCTCTCAATCATCTCAACTCTGGAGAGAAAAGTTGTTATCTGTCCAATCTTTCTTGATAACTGTATCCACTCATTCCTGGTAACATCCACTGTACTCCTTTCAGTGCTACAATATGATTCCTCCAATATGGTAACCAGCACTCCAAATGTGGTCTAACCAAGGTTTTATATAAAGTTAACATTAGCTGGACATAAAACCATGGACTCTTATTTGCATTCTCAGTGGCCTTGTCAACTTGTGCTGCTTATTTTAGAATCATGTTAATCTGAATGATCACTTGGTTCCTTTACTCCTCTTAGGTTGCTACCATCCACGGTACAGTTGGTTTATTACCAAAGTGAATCACTTCACATTTCCCTATATTGATTAATTTCATCTGTGTCTCTTCTGCCCAATCTGTGAGCCTATTTATGTCTTCTTTTTGCAATTCGCTTCATTATTCCCCCTTCCCATCCCCCAGTTTGGTGTCCCCTGCACATTTCAACACCAAACCTTCTATATCTGAATCCAAATCATTTATATGTATAGCGACTAGGACTGGCCCCTGCAAAACAGCACTTCACACTTTTTTTCAGCCTGAGAAGTTGTCCTTCACTCATATTCTTTATTCTCTATTTTCCAGCCATCTCTCAATCCATTCTGCTACCTCTTCCTTAACTGCACATGCCCTGGTTTTATTATTAATGTTTTATATGTCATCTTATCAAAGGTCTCTCCTTCTCAAGAGGTTTAGTTATTTCATCAAAAAATAATTAACAACAATTATGGAAATATATCTGAGTATGTGAAAGTCATTTGGAATCCTAAGACATTTCAGGAAAGTGTTTTGATGGTAGTGCTGTTTGGAAGTTACCTGTAATAGTTGCCTTCATAGAATGGATAAATCAATATAACTGTACTGTTTGTGATAAAAAAAAGTGAAAGGGGGGGTTACATTGAGTGAAATTGTAGTGCAATTCATCACTTGAAAACTCTACTCTCACGCATCATTCAAGAACTGCACACAAAAATTAGAGAGAGACAAGATTCATTTTATGTAAAAATTTATTCCATTTCTGTACATGTATAAAACAAGCACTTTCAAAGTGGAAAAATACCAGCCATTGTTATATACAAAACGTACTATAAATAGAACTTTGGTATTAAATTTCTAGCTGTAAACCTTCATTTAAAAACAGTAGAAAACAGAGGCAAAACTATAGACCCTGAAAGTACATGCCAGTTAGCAGTTTTTTACTATACAGTATGATCTTCAGATCAGTTCCAGTCAATCAAATCCTTCCCATTTGTACAATGAACAATAATGACAGAAAATCCCTGTCAACTTTGTGGTTTATTTCATTTTTTGATTGCATAAATATCCTAACAATGTTGGAAAAAGTGGGTTCCATGAAGATCGTGACAATGAAGGGAACAGAACTGCAGTCAAGAGCAGTTTAGCTGAGCTGCTAGGAGCAAAATGGAACTTGATAAACCACTGCTCACTTCAATACTGTAATTAAGAAAATAGCACATAAGATGCACACACACACAAGCGTGTTTGTTAAAATGGATCATATATCCCAAAATAAAATCTGCATTCTTTTAATTTTGCCTAGACATTAAATATACCTAAAGTGCAAAATTAAATAGAATCACAATTTATTATTTATATCAGACAAAGTTTTAGTTACTTTATAGGTCCCAGTGTGTATATTCAGGGTGGGTGTGGGAGGGAGGGAGGGAGAGAGGCAAGTCACTGGATAACTGAACCAACTGAAATCTTATCCCATAAGTAGCAAGCAAAATCAGTGTGAAACTTTTAACCATTGCATATACCACATACTTATTTTATTTTTCAGTGCAATGTATGAATGCCATGGGCATGAAATGATTCACTTCAAATGAATCATTCAAAATTAGGTCTACATAACACTCAATAAACGTACATCTTTTACAGAGACACATGCGCCAAAAGACCCCCTCTGTATTTCTTTGTGTATCTTCAAATCTCATGTAATAGAAGTAATACAAAATTTGCATTCAATTTTTCCCTTTTCTTCATTTGTTTGACAATGGAACCTAGATTAAAGTGATGCATGTTTCTTGCTTTGAGAAACACTGCAAAGAATGGACTACCAGTTTAAAACTAAAAGGTGCTCAACTGAGAGAAAATGCTGTTCTACAGCTGCCCAAGTGAGCATGAGGCAAATGACCACCAATTGTGTTACCAAGTCTTTCAGACCATGAGGTTCCAGGCTAGATCTGTGTTTTTCTGATAAAATAGTAGAAGCAGTAACAGCACTACAACTGACATCGGTTCCTCTGGGTAGGGAAAGAGAAAAACATTCTGTCTTAATTTGGAAAATGATTCTTTAGCAGTGTTTGAAAGGAAAAACAGTTTGTAAATGTAAGCTCCAAATAAAACATTTTTCAAAGTGCTACACAAAATACAGACTTGCGCAACCTTAAATTCTAAAACAATTGTCTTAAAACTAAAACCATAACATATTTAGGACTCGGATGTCCCCGTTGGGAAAAGGAAAAGCTCATCCACAGGTTGCTCTTTTCCACCTCTGAGAAGTAGGCACAGCGCAAGGAGGCAAAGATGTGCATTCTACTTAGTGCATTCCTTACCATTCACAGAAAAAAAGTGGCTTTTCCTTGAAGACAGTGTTAAACCTTATTCTGAGAGTATATCTAAACTAATCTGGGTTGGACATTCCATTTAAGTTCTGGTTTAAAAAAGCATTGCTACCTGACATTTAATTTCAATCACCACTTTTCTACGTTTGCACTGACAAACTGAATGAGGTTCACTAGGCAGCTCCTAGTTAGTCTTGGGTCCAGTGTGTGCATCGACTACAAAGTTACACCTACATTTTCTTCTGATGTTAAATTGAACACTATGGGCTCATGCGTGTTTTTTTTAAATATAGAAAATGAGATTATCTCAGCAGTAAAGGTTCTATTCCACCAGTCTGACCTTGACCTGAAGTGTCACGTTCCCACTCTAGAATATCTCTTCTGGGTAAGCTCTGTTGGAACTTTCACTGGTGTCATTAATTCTTATCCTGAAATAACTGGATCATCCTTGTCCTCTGAGATGGAATCTTTATTAGATGTAGAGCAATCTTCCTTTACCAGGAAGCATGACTGTTCATTCCTTTATGTTTTTTATCTAGTGCAATTCTGACTGGTGTGATACGAGATACAAAAGGAGACATTATGATCTCTCATAACCTCTAAAGACTACAGCTCAGTAACCAAGCAAAATATATTGATGTTCTTTTCTCTACAGGACATTTGAATTTATAGCTGTCAGCCAAGCAGACTCTAATGGATTAGATGGAAATATAAGCATTGAACCACACAAATATATTAAACAAAGATTTTTGCAGAACAAACTCAGGAGTTGAACTAGTGCCATGACTTCTGCTTTCTTTGGTTCTAACTAATTGACAACTGAATGTGCATTGCTATGTTAGACAGACACCAGTAAAGTAGATTAAAGGGCCTGAATTTTCATGAAACAATCTTTGACCAACATTGCGCTGTTAGTTGCTGCAGGGAAAAGAGCAAATTAACTTTGTTAATTTTCTCATAATGTCATCACGCACAATTCATACAATGAGATTTACATCATCAGCCCATAGATTTGTAAATACTTTCAATAATTTTAGAAAGAAAAAGTAAAAAAATGCTTCTTTGAAAGTGAATCCTTTTCTGTCTAAAATTATATTTCTATTTTCTTATATATTAAATCCAGACTGCACAAAACTGCAATGTATTATAGGGGACAGATATTCTACTTAAGTAGACTGTCACAAATTATTTCAAATGATGCTTATCTTGCACATTTGTTTCAGGGAATTAATTTGAACCCAGGTTTTCAGAGATGTTGGCCAAAAAGTTCTAATTTGTGGGATTTCATAATAGATTTCACAATAAGAAATATTTAATTAGCAAGTTTCTAAAACTTTATTTGAAGCTTCTTTCTGCCTTCAGTAGCTTTGCAATTTTTTGGTCAAATGGGTACCTGATATATGCAGAATCTCATCACTATGCTTAAGAATATCCAAACCAAACTTATAGTCCCATACATGTATGCTACCTACACATGGACATATTTTCCTTGTCTGGAATGGAATGCGCACTCTCTCCCTGGAGGGACACACCCTGCTTAAATAAGTATTAGGTGCAGGTTGGAAGACCAAGTCTTTATTATTTTTTATTTAAATAAAGGGGGCCAAAATCCCCAAATGTCTTAGGATTAAGACAATTACCTTAGAATTACAAATTTTCAGAAATTTACAAAAGTTATACCTTCAGTCTAAATTTGGAAGATGATTTTCTGACTTTCCACAGTACTGAAAATCTACAGAAATTTGACTTCCCTAACTAAGACTGAATTTCCTCGCAATCTTAAATTTTAAGTCTATGAATCTGAGAAACTTCAGGATAATAAGATGTTGCCTTAATACCACATTTATCTGTAAAACACATTCTTAAATAAAAACTGCAAATGTCATTCACCACTCAGTCTTTCATCTGCTGGCTGCACCTCTGTGTTATGGCTCTTTAATGGAAATGCACAGAACCGTGACAGAACAGCCTTCCAGTCAATGTTCCTATCGCTGTGAGTAGAACATCGTGTCACTGAGTAATGCAGTTGTCACCCATGTCCTGAGCATACCGATCTGATATTATGGTCCTTAATTCATCAATATCTTTCCGTAATTGACAAACATCAGACAGCTGCTTTGAAAGTAATTCTCTGCTGTGGTAATTCTCTCCTTCGTCGCCTGAACAGTGCAAAGCTGTTAACCAAGCACAGAAATTATTATGCATCACCGAAAGCTTGTCACAAAGTATTTGCAAAGTAAAGAATTGATTCTGATGCCTATTTCTAATAAAATGCAATGCTAAAAGTCAAGGTAACATTTAAATATTTCAAGCTCATACAAGTTATCAAGTTGCATTGGAGTCAAATCTCAGTAAAGCAAAACTGCTATTTCAAACTTTTCACTGGTCACAAAACAGTGGCTTTTCCTTGAAGACAGGAATTATTTCACACACAAGCTCAAATCTTGACAGGATAAATCACTTAATAAGAAACAGTTTGGTGTCTGTTATATATTCATTGTCAAACCCTAGCAAACATGCATTCTGTATAAATGGTTAACCTTGATGATTGCGATGCAAGGGAAACTCATTTTTACTCATTCTATCTTTGTCCCCATAAAATTTGCAAGGTGAAACTTATAATTTTAGTTGTGTAGAATAACCAACCATAACTCAGAGAATTCAACGTCATGCACCATTTCCCCTGAGGCTTTGTCTTCCAAAGTATATCAGCAAGATGAAATGGCCAGCAGGAGTTTCTCCCGGTGTCCTGGGTGACTATCCCCCAAGTAAAATTGGTCGTTTGTTTCATGGATGTTTGTGGGACACACAAGTTCAGTTATGGCTGGTAAAAGACCCTAATCAAAGTGCTTTATTTTTTCAATGAGTCTTAGAATGATAAAGTTGAAAGTATACTTACATCGGATCCCCAGTAACAGAGAGAGATTTGGCTCCTTGCCTTGCGCTCTCTCAATGAGTATATTGCACAGTGCACGTAGGTCATACAGACAGTAGGACATGTCCTTCATCAGATTTTGGATTGCTAGTGACTTCTCTTCTGAGGATTGTTTGGACTCATCAGCTTGCCATGGTTGCTTTCCAGAGGTTGAGTTTTCTTCTGGAAGACTTTGTTTTTTTGAGGAAAACTTCAGAAAGCAGAAAAGGGTGAGATGAATCAGAAAATATAAAATGATCACATTAATCTACGTGGACGTCTACAAAGTTATTTCATATTTGCTCCCTTTCTCTTCAAGTTATTTAGCCCTGGATGGGGGTCAAAAAGCCTGTATCCTTTTCTCAGATCTCTATTGATGTTTATCTATGTCAATATCCTTCCCTGTGCTCAGGAGAAGTGTCAGGTTTACTCTGATGAGCTAGCAGAGATAAATACCTTATGTAGGCATCACAAGCAGATTCTCCACGGCCCAAGTTTCAGTTACAGCATGCTTGTCTCAGAAAACAGGGATTTTACATTACACTTATGTTTCAAATGAAACAGCTCTATATTACCATTTTCTCCATTTATACAATTGGCTGTGCACAGTACATAGACATGCAACAGATATAGAGTTTATCGTGCTGCCTCATGCGGTTTTGAAAAAATAATCTCTTTATAAATACAGTAAAACTTGAATAAGTCATATCACTCGGAAACAAAATTTAATACGACTGTCGTAATGTTTTTGAGTTACAGGCGAACATGCATAAGTCATATCATTCAATGCGGCTATTAAATGCAATAGTGGCATTACGAGTTAGGAAATGATTTGCACAGGATTTGGGATGTATTCGAGACCAAGAAACAATTACGATTTAGCCATTTATACGATTTATAAAATATGACTAGTGCAAAGAAATGTAAGTGTTTTTGGTAGGAAATTGAATGGGACTCAGGTGCATATACGACTTAGGCGATTATACGATTCAGAAAGATAATAGTTATGCAAATTTTACTGTATTATGATTTATGGGTTCTTACGATCCACAATTGACAGAAACATTCTCTTTTCATAAACTTACACTGAATTTACAGGGTCTGCAAATTTGTCAACCAGCAGAGAATCCAATGTTCTCGCCGCCAAGGTCAGGAAATGTAACGACCTTCAGAGAATCATCTCTGAGGAGGTTCTAAATCAAAAGGCATTGTGTGCTTAAACCTACACATTTAAATATCCATCTCACTCATATGGGGTCCTGTGTGTACATATACTCAGAGAGACTGGTGCATACAAAGCTTGTCTGCTGCCTTTGTAGATTGCATACTCATAAAACCAAGAGCCTCTTCTAATCGTCATTCAAAATTATATCTATTTACTGATGGTTACACTGGTCTACTGCTCTCTTTCCTATGGGTGAATACATTAAGCTCTGTGAGCAGGATCTGCACACACCATCAGATAGAAAACAGGAGCGGTTCAGGGGTCAATAGTTTTAGAAACCATAACACTCTCATTAGAATTGTTTATTAATATTGTAATTTATGAGTTCCTATAATCCATAATTTCCCCAAAAATATTTTCTTTAGTTTTATATTTACATTCTAATGTTAAATTTTGCCCTTATCGATGTTTGTCCTTTTGAGAGGGAATCCTTTCATCCAACTAAATACTTTGTGGACTCTACTATCTGGCCTTGGAATTAACAACTCGCAGAATCTGTAGCTATGTTTACTTTCAAACGTGCCACACAGAGAAAGTCACAATATGTTTTTTTTACTGATAAAGGCATGGCATCTTCAAAGACTATATATCGGCACTAATAAGTGTGCAACCAGCAACATGGCAATTAAAATAAATCACTCTCATTTATGCAATTATTCTCCATCGATTGGACAGTGTAGCAGTTTACAGTACAGAATGAAGATCTATTTTCCCTCATGTTCTGAAATTTATAAAGCAAAATGTAGTAGCTTCGCCCTTGGATATGTAGCTGTCAGCATTATTTGATCTAAAGAATTTGAATATATTACCGTAGGCGTAAAAGTGTTTTGGGGTAATTGCGAATCATTCACAAGCCTTAAATAATAATATTCAGAATTTGTTTCAATGGGCCTGTATTACAGGTTTCTAAATGAACAGTAATAATCGTTAAAACACCCATCTTGTTAACTTTCTTGCTTTCAGCAACTAAATAGCTGGCAGTGAAGGAGCTGTATGCAGATCCTGGCTGCACATAACATAACAGTCAAAGTTGATATCTCTGGCCACTGAAGGCCACCAAGCACAGTGAGGCAAGAGCCCACTAGGAGAGTGGCGGGAGTCTAACCCGGATCCTGTTGCCCTACCCAGCTGCCCGAGAGACTCTATGTAACTTGTTTCTCACCTCTTCCTCCAGCTTCACATTTATTTTGGTTTTTGCAAGTTCCTCCATCAAGGCCTGTGATGAAGACGTTTCTTGTCTCAGCCTCTTCTCCAGAGCCTTCAAAACACATCGAAGTGGTGAATACATAGCCTAACTCACTCATGTAACTGTAGCAATTCCAGATGACCCATTCCTCTTGTGTTGAGCATTTTGAAGACTGCTTGGCAATAGACAAAAGTTTACAAGTGGTGAACTATAAAATGTAACAGGTTGTAATGGAAGATATGGAGCTGTTGATCTCAGGAAGGTTATTGGTCTGGGTGTTACAAATAGCCTCAGTGTCCAAGCGATTGGTAAGAAAAATATCACTCATGGTTGCTGTCCAGTGAACCATGCTGAAGAGTGCATGTGTGCCATAGGCTTGCCTGTGTTGCCACTCTATAGTTGAAAAGCTTACTAAAATTTCCCATCTAGGCTCACATACATACAAATGATTGCAAGGTGCCAAGAGAGGGTGAAGCAGATATAATTCAATGAAACCACCTCCTAAAAAGGTTTGTGAACAAAAATTGTTAAGAAATTGCCAAACAAAATCAAGAAATTGTTTCTAACTTCACAAATAAGAAACATCTCGCAAGTTCTGAATATGCCGATCAAACCAAAGGTAAAATAAAGTAAAAAATAAAGCCATTCTAATGTTCTCTTCGGAACCCCCAAACAGTCTGTCAAAATGTTGGAAAATTCTTAAGTCCCGTCTTCATTTAGAAGCTCGACTTAGGATTGCCAGCCAACAGTTTGAGTGCTTTAAGATGTCTTTACAACATGACATGTAAATTGTATTGTAAGACAGTTTTTCAGTTCTCTTTAACAATTCTGGAAAACTATCTGAATTGAAACTAAATTTAAGAAAAAAATTCTGCACTCTCAAAATCTTACATTTTAAGAGAATGGTCTTGAGGCTACAACCCCCCGAGAAATCCTAGACCTCGATGATCCCTGTAAGTACAAGCACAAGCTGTGCAGCTCCAGTGATACAATTACCTGAATTTGCAGGTTACATGTTTCTATTTGCTGCTGCTGGTTGTCAATGACCTGAGGAGAAAAGGAAAAGGAAAAAAGAGAAAAGATACTTCAGTGAACTGACACCTGAGATCGACATACACACACACTTCTTTAGGACCTCAAGTTTTGTTACCACACATGGTTTGACAGTGTGCTGATAATTTTTACTTTCGACAGTGTGCACAATCCTTCCACGGGGGGGGGGGGGGGGGGTGCGGGAAGTGTAGTCTCCTTCAAGCGGCTCTGAAGGAATGGCGGAATCAAAGTGACACTTTTCATGGTTAGTATGATATTGACAAAATGCAACAACAAATGAGTCAAATTTAGCTGTTGACATGTTGCTGCCATAGCATTGTATTGTGCTGGTGACAGAGCAGTCAGGATAACAGCAGCAGGACATTGACATTAACATGGCATTTACTTTCGTTTCAGAAAATTCAGCTCAAACGGTCTAACGTAATTTAACAGTAGAAAATCATAATTTATCAATTAGGAATCTATAATAATAATAATCCTAATAATAATCTATCACAATGTTCCAGATATAGGACATCCCCCACCACCCCCTTTCTCAATACTTACATCTGTGAAGTCAGATTGTGTTTTGGGGAATGGATTGTACCATTTGACTACCTGCCAGTGCGATGGCTACCTTTTTATTTAAAAAAATCACTCGTTGAATAGAGAGCATCTTTCTAACTGGTAGCTGAACGCTGTTGTGTTGGGGAGGGGGGATGCAAAATATCTGACACATCCAGGTGTATTCTGAGATGGCACATACATTTCTAAATTTAACACCACAGTTATTCCAGAGACAGTACAGTATCTGATATAGAATTCATTACTGCAACCTATTTATCATTAATTAGTCCCTCCAAAGCATGCTGCTACCTGGCAAGACGACAGGGCAGAACTAACCTTATTGGCAGCTTCACAGCTTTCCCTGAGTTGGTCATTCTGACATTGGAGCTGCTTGATGTTCATCATGGGAAGTCGCACTCCATCTTCTAGGCAATTCTCTACTTTCTGCTGCAGACTGAATACCGAGACGATAAGAAAAGGCATCACTCTACAGTAGAATGCTGAGAGTTCACAAATTACAAGATTTATTTGGATGATGAAGGCCCTTTGGTCCATTTGATCTCATCTTTCCAGACGACCCATCCTACTGTATTCACATCAATGTTTTTAAATGAATCCGTTGACCTGTTCTCATCGAACCATCCTGACAACCTGTTCTAGTTATTAATTACTTCTCTAGGCTGATATATAAAGAAGCCATTATGGTTGTTTCACATGGTAATTCTGTAAAACATCTGTGTTATACATAATAATAACCCTTGCATTTGATATAGCGCCTTATCACATCTTCGAGATGTCTCAAAGACTTTCACAGAATATTCCGTAAAGTAAATTGAGTGTATATTTTGTGGGCGAAATGGAGCAGCCAATTGAGCACAGCTGGGTCCCACAAACAGTCGTGGATTGAGCAATCAAACGATTTTTTTAATGGGAATATTTTACAACACAATGGTTTGGATCCATAAAATTGAGGCTTGATAGCTAATTTCACTGCACATGTCCGCAGAAGGCTAGCTGGCCAGGTCATCAGGTCACCGCTGATGTCACGTCCTGCTCTGCCGATGTATACTGACGGTGACCTAATGACTTGGAAGATGGCCATTTTGGTGTGAAAGCCATCTGAGTGCATACGCCGTGAATGAGATCCACACTGTATCTGTGCTGTAACCGAATTTGTGCTATAAAGAAGCACATTATAACAGGGCTACACTGTAATGCTGGTGAGGCCTACGTTGATTATTCCTAATTTTTATGTCTCAATCCAGCCTCACATTGGGGTTACAAAACAGTCCTTAGCAAGGCAGTACCATAACAAGCATATACCACTGCCAGAAAAAATACCTCAGAAGGCAAACTGCACCTGCAGCAGGGAACCCCATGTGCTGCACACCGAATCTCAAGAATCCTTCTCAAGATCTCCTGGGAGCTGGGATTTTGTGAGTTGATGGGTGTACAGAGTGTCGCTCTGTGTTCGAGATGTATTTTGCATCACAAGATACTTCTCCTGGGAACTAGTTACACTGGTACTTCCATAAAGAGCAGTATTTGAACCCTAAGGCCCTTAATACTGAATTTCCAATTACACTACAATTAATTCTGATCAGCTTCACACACCTATTAACAGACACCAGAGCTATTAACATCCACTATTCTCTTAATGAAGAGCTGTCTATTACTGAAATTATTGAATAGAATTCCATAGCTGGTTTACACTTTGAAGTCATCTGTTTAAATTGCTGTGCAACAGACAATTTATTTCATGCTTTATTTAATCTTTTTCAGCTAAATTAAACATGCAAAGACTACCATAATTCAGACAGAATAATGCAGCTATTAACCCTCTTTATATGTTTCTGTAAAATCAACAGCTGTAACAAGTGAGAAAATAATAATCCATTATAAATATTTTACTTTAAAAAAAGCTATTTTCTATCCTGTTTTTCCCTCCCAATTCATTTTCTGAATTTAAAAATACTGAATTTGAAATTTAAAACATTGAATTGTTTGATCCTCTAATAGGGATTGTAAATAATACAACAATAATAGTTCTTAATAATAATCCTTGCATTTCATGTAGAGCATTTTATGTCGGGTAGGATTTCACTGTAATAATGTAATGACAGTTTATTTTATTCATAATAGGAACCCTATCACATCGTCAAGACGTCTCAAAGCACCTCACAGGATATTCGGTAGCATGGTAACTGTGTACTTTGGAGCTGAACCCAGCAGGCATACCAATACAACATAAATAGCTATGAAGTGAATGACCAATTGGGGGATTGTTGGCCACAGCACTGGAAGAAGCTCCTTTCACTTTTCGAATATTGGATTGGTAACATAAACATGATCCTTTGTAACTTATATTAAACAATTTAAAATCTACTTCATCCAACAATTTGGAAGCATTGTAAAACAAGGGCAGTTCTATTATTTTTATATGGAATGGGAAAATACCAAAACTATTACTTTATAATACTCCAACAACAATAATAACAACTTGCATCTATATAGCACCCCTCACACAGGGTCTCATGCTAGAGCGTTTGACAGTGGCAGAGCACGATGCCAAGCCAGAAGAAGTGGGGAGGTGACCGTAAACACGATCAAAGAGGAAGGTCTCCCTGCGCAGTCGCCAATGTTGGAACTGTGGGGACTGAGGGACAAGCAAGAGCCAGTCGAGTAGAGATAATGGGTATTGGGTTGGGGAGTACTCCAACAACAGAATGTGTTATATACAAAGTGCTGTATGAATCAGATATGTCCATGCATTAATTCTCTCTCCTGAAACAGAGCAAATCGACAACTGGCCCAATCTTAGCATTAAAATAATGATCAGGAAATGGAGCAAACATGGCAGCCAATTTGCAAATAATATCCCCAAACACCCATGAAGACAATAACCAATTTTATATGGGAGACTGTTGGCAAGGACACTTGGAGAAACTTCCTTCTCTTCTCAAATTGAGTTAGGAGTGCGATTTCTTCTGTCGTAGCAGTGAACTAGGAAGATCTATGAGCCCAGGATATGGAAAATAGGAGCATAGCACACCCTTCGAATGAAAAATTAAATCCTAAACATACTTTAAAGCTTGAGAAGTAACATAGTGACGTGATCGGCTATAAATAGGGACCACATGACTACCTGTGTGATAGTATTTCTGTGCCAGTTGGTTTCACACCAGTGCTATGGGGCCTGGTGTTGAAATAATTAAAATCCTGAGAACATTGGCTGGGGTTTTTTTGCATTCAAACCATGAATTTTCATTAACATTTCAGTGGGTGTACTCAGAATGTCAGAGAACAAGAAACAGTTAAAATAAACTCCAATAACACAGCCACTGTTCCATGCTGTCCAAACGTAGAATTACACAGGTGATATCACAGTATTATGTGCACTGTATAAAAGACATTTTAATGGGATCCATATTACATCATAAGATTGGTTAGGATGAAGAAGACTTTTCGATCTCATCCTTCAGAATACCAGGCTACTGTCCTCCCATCCCAATATCAAGCTGTTTCCTAAATAGGTCCAGTGTACTGACCTCAACAACCCTTCCTGGTAACTGATCCAGCTCTTAGTTACTCTCTATTAAAAAATTACTTCCTGCTGTCTGCCTATAGCCTGCCCTATATCACCCTGATCCTGTGTCCTCATGTTCTGCTGTTCTGTCATATTGGAAGAATTATTTTGGATAATTTTGGATATTTTGGATTAATTATCTTAATCCCACATAAAATCTTAGATATGGTCCCCTCTGAGACATCTCTTTCCAAGCCTGCAAGGCCTTAGATTATACATCACATTGCACATTATATAAAACCGTTTCAACTTTCTGCAAAAGCAGCAGACCAGATATAAGGAAGACATTTACCTCTGTACAGTGGTGATCAGTTCCTCCTCCTTTTTCTTCTGACTCTCTAGGAGTATTTCTTTCTCTCTATAAAGCACTCGATTTTCTCCCAGTTTGTTCTCCAGAGCCTTGATGGTGTCTTCATACTGCAGATTTTTGTCTTCCAAAATCTTGATCTTTGGTGTCAAAGATGTGAAAGCAACAATCAGTGCAATTGTTTTTTTTTATATGGGGTCTAACACATAGCAATGTCAAACAGGATTCCTGAATCTATTATTATTATCCCTCCCGTTACCTTGATCTCTTTTCAGGCTGAGGCAGGCTTTGATGCTTTGATATGTGACCTCATGCTAAGAGATGGCGACAGATGCACCATAATTAAGCTGAATTTTGCTAACTTTTGACTGATTTTAATAACTGCACAAAAATAACCTAATTAAAATTCAAAATACGGTGAGACTGTTCTAGCTGCACCTGAATTCACATAATTACTCACTTTCTTGGGCCATAGATGGGCATTATCTATTACTTACAACATCAAAGCCTCTGAAAGCTGTATCTTTGCAATAACATCTCTCTGAAAACTAATTATAATTTGCTGATGAATGGCTTTGCTGAAAGCCCCATGAGCACCCAATTGAAGGGTCAGGTGAGCCATAGCAGTGGGAGGAAGAATTGCAGAGAAATCAAGTGAAATGGTAAACAGTTATAGCTTTGGCTTTATAAAGCTATAGTTTGTATGAGGAAGGGAAGACACAGGGAGGATGTGTAAAATAACATAATAATGTTTTTTGCATTTGATAAAGCACCTTTCACGTCAGGGGGATGTCATAAAGCGCTTCACAGTATACATTGCAAAACATAGTGACTGTGTATTGTGTTGTGAAGAACAAGAGAGAAAACTTCAAAAGGACAGTAACATTAGTGATAAAATAAAGAGAGACAGGAACATTTTGAACAAAGCAAGGAAGGATAGAGGCCAGTGGCTAACAATCCCCTCATTCACTTTATAGCTGTTTGTAGGATATTGTTCTGTGCAAACTAGCTGCTGCAAACACCTGTAGATAGTCACTACAGTTTACAGAAGATCTTTGTGAAAAGATTTGCGATATTTTAATGAAAAAGTGCAATATCAAATACAAGGATTATTAATATTATTAATATTATAAACAAAGGATCTATCTGATAGCAAAGTTTTCTTATTTCATGTCTGACAGTGCAACTGGAATGTCTACTATTCCCAGGTATGGGCATAGTATTCAGGGCTTGCCCCAAGTTGTTCTTCATAGAGCATTTTTGAGCAGAAAAAGAATGCTTTGCGTAAAAGTGGAAACAGTTTTGGAGGTTGGTTTAGCAGTGGAGAGAATGGGAGAATTTGCTTGAAATCAAAGAAGATAGTCAGACCCAAAATATTCCTGGGAGAAAGATTAAGAGTTCAACCATCACTGGTAAAAGCTGATAGATATTCATTAGATTTCAAAAAGACATGAAGAAATTGTCTTTTAGGAATTGAAAGGAATAAGAAGATTATGATTTCTCTATCAAAATATAAGTCACATTTAGAGATTCAGGCATTGCACCGTGAGAGGAGTGGATGTTGATGGATATAGTCAGTTGATGGATGTAAAGTACATCAGCTAACTATAGGATTGTTTGTAGAATGGAGGAGGTCATTGAAATAAATGACAAGGAAGGAACGAGATTAGATACCCTGATATCCCCTGAGTTGACGGAAAAGAGAGTCAGAAAAAGTACCAAGAATTACCAACAGAATGACAAGAAACTAAATAGTTAAGTGTATTGCTTCAATAAAAGGTTATACGATCTTGTTTATGAACGCTTGATGCCAGATACTGTTCAAAGCTTTCAAGATGTCAACAACAACAACAAAATTACATTTATAGAGCGTCTTTCATGTCGGGATGACGTTCCAAAGCGCTGAACAGTCAGGTGTCAGGGCCCGAGCATGGGGAAGGGGGGGTGGTGTAGGGGTGAGGGAAGGCAGAGAGGTGGGAGGGAGACCAAAGGCATGGTCGAAGAGAAAGGTCTGAGTCCAACCTTGAAGGAGGCAAAGGAGGAAGCGATGCAAAGCGACTGTGGGATGGAGTTCCAGAGTATGGGGGCAGAGAGGCTGAAAGCCCGGCCACCGATGGTAGGGCGGGTCAGGCAGGAGATATGGAGCAGGCCGGAGTCTGGGGAACGGAGAGAGCGGGCAGGCTCGGAGGGAGTCAGTAGGTCAGAGAGGTAGGAGGGGGCAACGCCATGGATGGCCTTGAAGGTGAAGACGAGGATCTTGAACTCGACCAAGACAAATTACAACTGAATTACCAAATGGTTCAAGGATTAAGTCCCTGATGTAAATACATTAGACATGATGATCACATGTGAAGTGCCCAATTGAAGCACCATATGTGGATCATGGTTTAGACAAGAACTGCCACATTGATGGATAATTCAAGAGTTGACATCAGAGTTCATCACTTTAAATAGTACAGAAGTGAGACCAATAGGAATGGGATTATATTTCTGAGGGATCGATCAATTACTAATACATTTCCAAGAAGAGGGAATGGTGAACTGGGAATTATTTGAGCTTCGTCCATTCTGACATAAATGAACAGTAAATGAAGTTTAATCATGTAATTTGAGTTCACACATTGTAGCTAAACTTCACAATGTTCATTTCTTTTTCCAGTACATAATGTTTATTTGTAACAAAACATAAAATGTAATAAATTTAGCACTGGTCAATATTCTTTAACAACTTGATTTGATAACAACTTTTAAGAGAGAAGTAGATAATTATTTGCTGGGCTATGGGGAGAGAGCGGGGGTGTGTGATTGATTTGGAAGCTCTTTTCAAAGAGCCAGCAGACACAATGGGTCGAATGGCCTCCTTCTGTGCTGTACAATTTTATGATTCTATGATAACATTCAGACATAAGGACATTCAAACATTGAAGATTGTAATAAAACTGCAATCATTTGTAATAAAGGTCTTATTTCACATCACAATGAACAATAGACTCAGGAAGTTACCAAGGTAGAAGGCATTGTGCCTATATTGGTGCTGCCGCTCTTACTGCAGTTATCTAACTTAATCTATTTTCTCCATAACCTTTATTATTTTTCATAGAATGATATGAGATGGAAACATTCATTACATTCCCTTTTGAATGCTGTTATGGTTTTGTCTTCAATAGCCATTTGTTGTAAATGTATTCCTTATTCTCTTTGTTTAAATCTTCTAACCTCCCCTTTTTTTCTTTCAGTAATAATCCTCAATTTATGCCTCTTTGTTGGTAACCTCAAAAATAGTGGGGGAAAATTTGTGATGTTTCATGACATGTTCCTCATTATAGTTATCACGAAGTTATTAATTAAATGTTATCCTAAAATAATTTATGAAAATTGGGCTTCAAAATTAAGACTGGATTTGACAATTTTGCTAAACTCTGGACTCTCTGAAATTCTAAAGCAATGGAGTAAATCTAGACCCTGGTGAAATTTCTACTCATGGGTGGTTGAATGGTAATGATCTAATGAAAATATTCCCACTTCACCCCACCCCAAACATGCAATAAATTCACATCAAGGTAGGGAGATTTTTCAGTACGTTTAGCGGTTTCAGTTTGTAAGCTAAACAATATTTTTGTCATGAATACATCTGAGTAAAGGTACTGCTCATTTGTGTTTAATAAATCGTTAATTTAAATTCTGTAAGTGCTTGATCAATGACTCTAAGGTTCATCTACCTGCAGGCTTTGGCTTTGAAAGTCATCCAAGGTCGGCAGATCAGCGAGGTACTTCTCCAGGGTTTCAATCCTCTGCTGCCGTTCTTGCCTTTCCTCCGATTCCTTCTGCCATTTCTTTTTCAGGCCACTTATGTATTTCTCACGCGCTCTCATCTGAAGCACAGTCAATAATTAGCGCACAGAAGGCAGAACACATTGCACAAACAGGTAATTTCTTCCTTTCAACGCTGCATGAATTTGTAATAATGTTTTTCCAGTCAGTGATTTACACTGCTAGGGGGAAAAAATAAAAGTGCCTTAATGGTCGGAATGTCACCTCTTTAATCACTATCACCATCTTAGTTTTATGCTTTATGGAAATTCCTCAAATTTAAATGACTGCTTGGTTTATTGAACTGTATTTCATGTTGCTTTCTTAGAGATTCCAGACACTAGAATGAGACATTAAATATTTCAGGAAGCTTTAGAAACAAGAAAGATAATGATCCCATTCTGGTGAAAGTGAAACTTTTTATCCACACTGTTGGGCATATAATACCACATGGTATAAATGGATTAACCCTTTAGATACCCATTGATGAATGACCTAAATGAAGGTGTTTGTCTTTAAGTTCTCCTTCTCTTGCTCCCCTGCACTTGGCTGCCAATTAAACCAAACCAATGCAAGTCAATATTTTATCTGCGTAAACATACTGTTCTTATCACATTTTTATTATAGTTCATAAATTATTTTCCCTGGCTTTGCCAAGATCCTGCGACCACACAAAGCGCTCAAAACATTGCCACTCCTACATTCATCGCAGTCTCATTTGGTAAATCATTGCAACCCTGATCCTTATTTAAGACATGAAATGCAGGCAGTAAGACTTCTTCTTCAGCTTCTCTGCACACTCTTGATAACATTGTTAGAGAGATCACCTCTAACATACAAATTGCACTGAAACATTTAGAAATCTTTTCATGCAATGGGTTATCAGAACAGCAATCGCTTTTCGACAAGTGCTCATTGAAGCTAAGACAACATTCATAAAGAGAACTGAATAAAAATTTGAAGAGAATTGTTTTAAAGTGTTCAGGGACAGAGCAGGCAAATGGGATTCACATATTATATTATATATATATATATATATATAACTTGAACATGCCTATGCTTCAGAAATTGAATGGTCTTCTTCCATTCTGTAATCTCTTAGGATTCTAATTTACTTTAAAATAATCAATCCGGCTGAAAAAAAACCCTGTTGAACTAATTCAGATTTTAGCGAAAACATCTTCTAGGACTTTACTGAACAATTATTTATTTGTGTAAGATTTTTATTGTTAATTGTAAGTTAAACTAGGACAATACTGAAACCTAGTTTACAGTTTTTGTTTTGGTTTGTCTTTAATCTTAATTGTTCCATCTGTACTCAAAGGATTTTACCTTCTCTTCCAGCTTCTTTATATCTTCTGCATATTTCTGTGTGTTTTTCTTGAGCGATTCATTGAGCTGTGCAACCTCAAACGCAGCTGCAGACAGCTTTTGATCCAGGTCTTCCTTTTCACTCTCGATGGCTTTTGATGCTTCTGCAAGTGGTGTGGGCTTGGAGACTTTCTCACACAGAGATCCATGCTGCTGACAACAACAACAAAATTACATTTTGACAAGACAACAAAAAGATTTCCAAAAGAAATTCAAATTCTGTGATCTTCATTATTTTGGCTGCATTTCTTAACTGGTTCATAATAAAACAAGACAGATATATTAAATATCATCTCATAATGCACAGGGAACTCTTTCAATATTTCACTACAATTCAAATGAATATTTTAAATGTAGTGTTAGCCCATAAATGTGCCATAAGGCATAGTACAGTCTGAAATGCATTGTTTCCAAAATGAATTTGTTGCAGGAATTGTGGATTCCAGTTTGACTCATCCAATCTGCAAGGCCTTTTGGGGGGATTTTGCAGGTTTGGGATGTGCCAGACATGGATTTCACAAACTGATACCACAAAACGGAGATTCACAAATCAGAGATTGATAAATGTGATAAATCTGGATTGTAAATATTGCATTTTAGACTCCTCCCCCCCCGTGTATGTGAGTGTGTTGGTACACTAAAGTGCTGTGCCACAGAACAATAGCTTTGAGAAAACATGCTCACACATGTAACAATAATATAACTGCTGGAAACTGTGCGCACAATCTAAATGTGTTTCCTCCAGGGATACCACTATACGTCACACTGACACGCTAGATCTCGACTTCAAGAAGATCTTGCTCTGAGCCAAAGTCTCTTAAGTCTCTTGTAGGCATGACACATAGGGATTTCATGCTTTAAAAAATGACTGAGATCCTGGTCACCACTGATGTCACTGATGTCAGCAAGCATGCCAGTTGTGGTCACGTGTAATGAAAGGATTCCACACTTCAACTGCATTATAAACCAGCGCAATAAAGAAGCATGTTATAATGAGGCAGCACTTTAGCAGTTAAATAGCTTTGTGTTATTTCTCTCATTGTGGTTTTATATCAGTGGAAGTATGAGTTTTTAATTCCACTTCTCTAAAGTGATACCATGAATGGCTGTCAATGAATTAGAAACAGTAACTCAAGTGAATAATACTACATTGTTCTTACAATTTATGTTCATCAATTGAAACCTGAAATTGGATATAATTGGATATCACAATCACTGTCAGATAATATTATTTAGTATATATATATTTATAATGAATAATGGAAATTGAATGGTGAGCAATTCCATGTTATTATCACTGCAATGTCCTGGGTGATGTATCAGAGACTACATATGATAGTGACCAGCAAAGTTCATTATAATCATAAAATATTACAGCACAGAAGGAGGCCATTCGGCCCATCAACAACAACAAAATTATTTTTGTATAGCACCTTTCATGTCAGGAGGACATCGCAAGGCGCTGGACAGACAGTTTCGGACCCGAGGGAGGTCGGGATTGGGGAGCGTGGAGGGCAAGCGGGGAAACAGGGTGATCAAAAACACGCTCGAAGAGGAGGGTCTTGAGATGGATCTTGAAGGAGGCAAGGGAGGGGGTGAAGTGGAGGGACTACGGGATGGAGTTCCAGAGGGTGGGGGCAGAGTGGCGGAAGGCCTGCCTGCCAATAGTGCGGCGAGCGAGGCGGGGGACGTGAAGCATGCTGGAGCCCGCTGAGCGGAGGGAGCAAGCAGGATGGTAGGGGGTTAGGAGGTCGCAGAAGTAGGGGGGAGCAAGACTATGAAGGACTTTGAAGATGAGGAGCAGGATCTTGAACTGTATCCTCTGTGTGATGGGAAGCCAGTGGAGTCGGGCGAGGATGGGAGTGATAGGGTCATGGAGCCTGGTGCGGGAGAGGACACGGGCTGCAGAATTTGGATGATCTGCACCCTATGGATGGAGGAGTTGGGGAGGCCGACAAGCAGTGAGTTTGCATAGTCAAGCCTCGATGTAATGAAAGCGTGTATGAGGGCTTCGGCAGCCTGGGGAGTGAGACAGTGGTGGAGCCAGGCGATATTGCAGAGGTGGGAGAAGGCAGAGCGGGTCATGGCACAGATGTGGGGTAGAAAAGATTGTTAAGGATCAAACAAGACCCCAAGGTTCTGATCTCGTTTAGGAAAGTGGAGTGTTATCCATGGATGGTGATGCTGCCTAAGGGGTGGCAAGAGCTACACAATCAATCCCACTCCCCCGCTCTTTCCCCATAGCAATTTTTTCCTCTTCAAGTACCTATCCAATTCCCTTTTGAAAGTTGTTATTGAATCTCTTTCCACCACCCTTTCAGGTAGTGCATTCCAGACCATAACATTTCTCTGCGTAAAAAATTTTCTTCATCTCCCCTCTGGTTCTTTTGCCAATTATTTTGAATCTATGTCCCCTGGTACCGACTCACCTGCCAGTGGAAAATGTTTCTCCCTATCTACTCTATCAAAACCCCTCACAATCTTGAACACCTCAATTCATTATTGGTTAAACCTTTATGGATTAACCAAAGACTTGCACATTCAGTTGGTAGAAGTTTCATCTAGGACTAAATTTACTTACATAGCAATTCAGTCTCCAGAATTTGGCAATTCTTAAATTAAGCCTTAATTTTGAATCCGTCTTTCTGCAAGTTCTTTTAGGAACTGCAGAAAATCAGCTTTAAATTGAGACTAGATTCAACAACTTGTTAAATTCTGGACATTATAACATGCTACATTAATAGAGTAAACCTAGAGCCAGGTGCAATTTTAAGCCCAGAAGTTTGCAAAGGCTGTACAGTTCATAGCTTCTGTTCAGTATTACCTGCAATCTGACCATGAATGCAGGGTCACAATGTGGGTGTCTTTCCAACAGGGCCCTTTGTGCTCGGAATTCATTTTCTCGTATCTTCTGCTCCAGCTGAAAAATCTGCTGTCTATGCCTACAAAAAGGGGGAGATTGAAGTCAATCTACAAGATTTTCTGAAAGCGAAAGCATTTGTTTTTACTAGCGCTTGCAATCATGTTAACCCTGATAATTCCTGTTCTCAGACCTGATCTGAGATCCATCGAGGAGGAGATGGAGTGGATGTAAGACCGCTGTTTCCGGAGCCCATGTGAACCATTAAATTGCCATCAATGGTCACACTCTGACTGCAAACTAGACAAAATTGGACTGGATATTGGAAGACAGAAGTGTGCTTATTCAGTGGCTCAGCTCACCCACACAGATGTTTTTTAATACTCACCGGTCTGCACAGACCTTCATAAGGGAAAGAATCATGCCCAGACACAAAGTCACAAACTGTGATTTAAAGGTGCGTGGACTTGGGGGTTGTATCATAGAATAGCACATTTGTTAGTGGAATTCCTTTTCATTCAGCAGCTGGTAATCATAGAATCATAGAATCATACAGCACAGAAAGAGGCCATTCAGCCCATCACGTCTGCGCCGGCTCACAAAAGAGCAATCCAACTCAATCCCACTGGCCCCCTTTCTCTCCATAGCCCTGTAATCCTGTCCTCCCTAAATACCCATCTATGCCTCTCTTAAAAGTATACCAGCTCCAGGTCATCAGTGAACCAACTAGTTAATAATTATCTTTTGGGGAAGGTGAACCAGGTCGGTTTGGAGCTGAGCTTGATTCAAGGTAATATGTTCGGCAATGGAATATCAGAGTCAAGTCAACCCTCTTTAGCGGCCTCAATAGTCTGGTTTCTGACCTAGGTGGGTCTGCAGTACTCCAGGGCACTGCTCAACTGCAGGACTAAAGGAGTAGACTGGCCATTGGGATCAGGGATTTTTTTCACTCAGCTCTGTTAACACTGCAAGCCAAAGCCCAAACGGATAAGGTCGATGTAGCTCATAAAGCGGTGGGAAGGTTGCCAGACAGTGCTTTCAGTGCTTCCAAACTGTATGGTTTTAGCTGATTAAACACCTGTAGTACACACTCTGGGGGCCTCAAGCCTTAGGTCTCTCTGGTATTAGATAGAGTATGTCCCTTTAGGGAGACGCTGCACATTCCATTCCAGACAAAAGGAAATTTCTATGTGTAGTTGGCATATATATGTGGAACTCTCAGTTTGAGTTGGATACTCTTAAGAACAATGATAGATTTCTGCATATGTCAGACATGCGGTTGACAATCAAAAGTTGTCACTACAGTATGCCAGCCACTTGTGGTACCTTTATTGGTTACACGAATAAGTGTTCCATTTTTGAAGCACAGTTCCCATGGGTCAGTGTGACAGATTTGCAGTAACTGGACCAAAAATGTTCCCACTCAATCTCCTTATTAAGGAATCACATTAGAAATCATTGTATGGCTGGATCACATAACATCACAACAATTGAATGTTCAACTGGATAAAATGTTACAGCGAAGAGCGAAACACTATGCAGCACAGGAATGTACCATATTCACAACTGCAAGGGATTAGAGCTATAAAGAAAAGGAGGAAGAAGCAATTTTTCTCAATCTATTGAACTGTTTAATGCCTGCAATAAGTAAAGATAGTTTTATAACTTGGAGATAGTACTTGCAAAGAACTGAACTGAAATCTTCTAAAGGCCCCTGGGGATCTTCAAGAAGCCACAGGAATGAATAACAATCAGTAGTTGTGTACAGAGACTGTCATAATCAGAATGAAAGATATGATCATATCCGCACATTATCTGTCTTGAATCAGTCTCATGACAGTTATCAAGAGTTTGTACATCTGGAAAGTGAGGCTTTAGCTAAGCTCTTTCTGACAGTACCTACCAAGCCTGAGAAATGACATGGATTCATATAGCCGGTTCTGTGTTTATTAACCAGGTTTTGTTCCGCCTCCCCACTTGAAAGGAAAACAATTTATTATGATTTTTCCAAAGGAGTACTTTCTCAGAAGAATGTATGATTTTTTATCGTGGAGTCCTGTAGCTCAGTGGTTAGAGCACTCGCTTTGCAAGTGAGAGACCTGAGTTCAATTCCAGGCAGGGCGAAACCTTGGGCAAGTTTCCTTACTCCACACAGAGCCTAATAATAATCCCTCCAAAACCAAAAACAATAATAAATTGGTCATTTTCAATCTACGACTGTTTGTGGGACATTGCTGTGCGCAATTGGCTGCCGCATTCGCCCACAAATATACAGTCAATTCACTGTCAGTGTGTTCTGTGAAGCGCTTTGGGATGTCCTCCTGACATGAAAAGCGCTATATCAAATGCAAGGATTATTATTATTATTATTATTATTATTAACCTGTTGGTTAATATTTCTGACTCTTTCAAAAATAAAGTAATCCTTACATTTGATATAGCACCTTTCATGTCAATAGGATATCTCAAAGCCATTCACCAAATATAATGTAAGATGGAGCAACTGGGTATTTTTGTGGCTGAATGTAGGAGCCAGTTTGCACACTGTAATGTCCCGCAAACAACCATGAAGCGACTGACCAATTTTAGTTCGCAGATTGTTGGCCAAGACACTGGGAAAAACTCTTCTTTTTTTGAATAGTGCAATGGGATCTTTAATGTCTACCTGAGCAAGCAGAATGGGTAAAATTGAGAAGGTAAAAGATAAGTGATCTCTTCCATTCTCCGCTGTAGATTTCTATGTCTCTAATAAGTACCACCACAGCCTAAATTATTTAAATTGATGCTGATACAAAAAGTGTCCATTATATATTGAGACTAAAAAATTTCTTTTGCGCACAAATCTATCCAGATATCTGTCTCCAATGACTTCAACAGGACTGACCACTGCTTTGGAATGTCAGACCTGGGGCAATGATACTGCCAACATCTGGCAAAAGGAAGATACTGGTTAGGTTCACATGATGATGGCACTTATCCCAGTGTTTAATGTTGAATATTATAGCTGCAGAAAATTCTTCTGCACACTTCAGCAGAATTGGCCATGAGTAACGTGGCATCACCTTCCTACTGGAGACTTTGCTGGCAATCTGCAAAGGTCAGCATGAAGCTACTCCATTAAAACATGAAATAATTCTCCAGATTGAAGCCATCTTGTTCTAGACGATTTTGTGTATTAATAATGACATAGTTAATGGAGACATAGTTATAAGATAATAGTAATAATAATCCTTGCATTTGATATAGCACTTTATCACATCTTCGAGATGTCTCAAAGCGCTTCATAGAATATACTGTAAACTATATTTTTGGGGGGGACGAAACACGGCAGTCAATTGTAGATAGCAGTGTCCCACAAACAATCATGGACTGAAGTGACCAATTCATTATTATTATTTTTTTGAAGGAATTATTACCCCCAGAGAAATGATCCGCCTATCAACTAACAACCGGGTTCCTACTTACTACTAGGTAAACAGGAGTGTGGAGTAAGGAAACTTGCCCAACATTTTGATCTGCCGAGAACTGAACCAAGGTCTCTCACTTGCAAAGCCATTTTTGTTTTAAAATTTAAGATTTCGCAGAATTCTGGAAGGTTATTAAATCAAGTCTTAATTTGGAAGCCAGTTTTCCACAATGTTAAAAAGGGTCTGTTTCCAAATTGATCTAGAATTTTCTACAATTTTGCAAGATTTTAAGACAAACTAAGACTAGGTGGAATTTCGGCCCCCTGATGTGAAGAAATGGCTGTATAAAGAATGATCTATGGGGTACTAGTCTAATAGACCATTACATCTTCGAAATATATCATTAAAAATAGACATTGAGGAATGCTTGTCTAAGTGAACTACAGATTAAATTGAGATTTTGTCAACCACAGGTATAAATTTGTTAGAACTTCTCTTGACAGGATCAATGGATGAATGCATTTGACATGAACATTTTGTCATTTATGACCTGTACCTCCAAAGAGAACATTATCAAATACTATTATCTCAAGAAATACTTTTCTGCTCAATATTTTAAACCTCTTCTCGGTTGCACATTGTAATCAATTAACTCGACTTATTGCCAAATTCACTGAGGTGTAATTCTGATATAAGGACCTCTGTTTACCAGTCAATTCTTCACTTAAATTCCCTTTGTTAAGAATTGTTCAGCTAGAACAATTTAGTTTTCTAAAACATTAGCTGAAATGATATATTTTCTGACACTTAATAAATTAAGGTAAACTTCTACCCTAGGTACAACTACAACAGTGTGGTTGCGATGAGGCTGCCATTATACTAATCTTCCTGCTAAAGGTCAGATGTGTTCTGATATACTGCAAGTGGTGCATTGTGCGCTCAAATAATGGGCCATGCAATACAACAGCAATTTATATTTATATAGTGCCTTTCCATTTGGAAGGACACCTCAGAGTGCTTCATACAGCCAACTGGAAGCCCAAGTTCTATTTTTGAAGCACGGGGTGGGAGGGATGGGGTGTGGCATAACTGGCGAAAAACATAGTCAAAAAGACTTCAGGCTATTCAGGCAAGTTTTAAAGAAAAGAGGTGACAAGATAGAGAGACTCTGGGTTGCAGTTTCAGAGAGCAGGGATAGAATAGCAGAAAGCTTGCTCACCAATGATGAAGCAAAGTAGAGCGTGTAGGGTTTGCTGAATGGAGGGAGCAGTCAGGGCAGTAGGTACGCAGGAGATCACAGAGGTAGGGTAGGGAGAGGCCGGGGAGGGATTTGAAGTAAGGACAAAGATCTTGAATTTGATCTGCTGGGGGGTTGGAAGCCAAGTGAAGCCATTAGCAGGACACATGGTGTGATTTTCCTATGTACACAGTTGGGTGATGTCATGGTAAAGGGTTTCCAAATAGGATATTGGACCTTCTCCTTTAGGAAGGAGATATAACATATCCGTGGTGCCTATATATTAATTTTCAGTTCCAGCTGAAAGAAACTGAATACAATTATTTATTCAACAAACATTTGCAGCAAAAACAAGTGTGGTTGCAATGAGGCTGCCATTATACTAAGCTTCCTGCTAGAGGTCAGTATACATTTGTTTTTTCCTATTGGGTTTCCTCA